AAAGGCCCCACCTCTTTAATACCGATGCATTGGAGACGTTTCAACATGAATTTTGGAGAGACACAAACATCCAAACCATAACAGAAATGAAAAGGGAAGGGAGTGATAGGTTGCAGAAAAGGGAGAGGTGAAGAATAAATGAGGTGCGAGTAATGAAATAAGAGAACCAGATGATTATTAAGAATATGGTATACCATAATCTGACTTCATTACTGGAGTATTTCTGATGATGACAGAGTACAGACGAATGGGTAGGTGGCTAAAGTGAAGTAGAGGTGAGGGTCCATTGTAGTTGAGAGGTCAAGTAATTGGGAGATGAATATTTTGAGATAGCGATCTACCTGGACATTGAAAATGATTCAGGATAAGCATGAATCTTTGTATGAAGAAGGTGACTCCCTATTTTAAGATGCTGTCAACAGATAATTGCTCCACAAAATGGGCAGAAGAGGAAGGGAGTAGACAAAGGATTGAATATGTTATCTGTATCCCCTACTACACTGTGGCTGAAATTGTATAAACGAGGAATAGTAAGTTCCAAAATCTTGGTTGATGATACAGAAGTGCTTACAGAATGCAGTCACTCCAAAGACCCTTTCACTCCACTTATCAAAGTAATTTTGTCCTCATTTTAATGGCAGGCGAAACAATATTGAACAAAGCAGCCTCTGCTGTACTTTAAGCCCTTTAGCTAGTGTTCATAGTAGTAAATGCTCTAGTAAAAGGACAGCTTCCATTCCAATCCCAGGTTTTCAATCACTTTGGTTCTTTTTTTGAGACACAGTCTTGCTGTGTTGCCTAGGCTGGAGTGCAGTGGTGTGATCTCAGCTCACTGCAACCTCCACCTCCTGGGTTCAAGTGATTCTCATGCCTCAGCCACCTGAGTAGCTGGGACTACAGGCACATGCCACCACACCTGGCTAATTTTTGTATTTTTTGTAGACAGGGTTTCGCCATTTTGGCCAGACTGGTCTCGAACTTCTGACCTCAAGTGATTCTGACCCCTGCATTAGCCTCCCAAAGTGCTGGTACTAGAGGCATGAACCCCCACGCCTGGTCCACTTTGGTTCCTAAAGTTTTCTTTCAGGTAAATTTTTAATGCACAGTTTCCGCCCAAAGATTTTGTTTGTGTGGATTGATTATTGGATAGGAGAGGAAGGGATTACCAACAGGGTCCCTAAGGCTGTGCTTAGAAAGAGAGGGTTGCTGCAAGGAGAGGCTGTGTTACTACCTGTGAAGTCATCTGTGAATATGGGACAATGACAACTGACATTGATGCGCAACTCACTGCATGTCCCAAACTAGGCTAAGTACATTATATCCATTGACTCATTTAATGCCCCAACAACTATGAGGCAGGTGTTATTACCCCTGATGCTAATATTAAAGCACAGGAAATAAATAACTTGTCCAAAATCTCACAGCTAGTAAATGGCAGAACTGGGACCTGAACTCAAAACTCTGTAACTCCAGAACCTACAAGTTTGTCGTTAAACGCACTTGACATTTAGGAGTGGGAACAAATCCAAGAACTAGTCATGGGTGTCATTTACTCTGATCCTTTTCTTCAGACAGGAAACTGGGGGTTCAGAGTAGTTGATTGGAATCTTCTGTTAGAATTTTGAGTGTCTGAAGCCTGCCCCTTTGGCCGAGCCCTACCACACCAAGTGATACAGATCCTTCAGAATTCTCTGGGGCATGTTCTGGCTGGAGGAAGAGATTATGTTTTTGCTACCGGACTTTTTCCTTGCTTAATCCTATTTATACCTCTGTTTCACTAGCATTGTAGACAAAATCATTAAAACAAGAAAGCCAGATTTCCTTAGAATGGGCTAGTGCATTTAAAATTAGACTGACATTGCACAATCCTATGACTATACTAAAACAAAACAAAACCAAAAAAACCCCACTGAATTGCTTAAATATACAAATATGTACAAATATTACAAAAACTGTATGGTATATGAATTACATCTCAACAAGGATGCTAAAAAAAAAAAAAAACAGAGTGTATGACTTAAACAACATATTTCCATTGTTTTTGAGTGGCATCCAATGGGCTCCTTGTACATCAGGTGCCTGGGGTGACCTACTGGCCCATTCATTTCTTATTCAGTCCACATTAACGGAGTCCACCCTTGGGCCAGGCACAGGGATAGCAGGGGTAGGCACCCAGCTCCCTGAGGATGAAAGGCAGGTACAGAGGAATGAATGCTTGTACCTGAAGAAGCACTGATTTTTTGGGTTGAGGCTTCCAGTGACTATGTTGCAAACTCGAGTACTAAAACAGTTGATGTGATTTCACTATTTAGAAAATGTAGTGTTTTTGTTTCTTTTACTAAGTTACACTGACTCACAGACCTGGTCTCAAAGCTTCAATTACAGTAACCGTTTACCCTTTCAAGTGAGTTTTCGCACACTAACAGATAAGTGAAACAGAATTACAAAATAAAGTTAATGCTGAAAACAATGGACCTTTATTAACATCAGTGCCGGCTCACCGTATCTATTTTAACTCCCATCTATCCGGGCGGCTTTAAGCCCGCACTGGCGCTCCGCTCGGTCAAGCCGGGGTAACGCGGGGAGGAGGAGGTGGGTTCGCACATCCTCTCTCCACTTCTTTCGGCCTTGGTCCTATCGCAGGTCCAGGCGAGCTGGAAGCGCCTTTCCCGAGCACGGGCCGGGAAAAGGGGCCGAGCGGGGCGGAAGGACTTCCTGCGGCCAAGGGCGGCCGCGTTCTCCGCAGAGACCACAGTTCGGTCCCGGAATGGACCCAGCGTTTGTGGTTCGCGGCGTAGAACACGGGGCACGCTCCGGGCCCCTGCCGGGCTGA